GGAGCAGAAAAACAGCTGTATTGGTACAAAAACCCGTGGGGTGTCGATTGCCATCCGTCACCTTTAACACTAAATCAACAGTGGATCCAAAGGGTCACGGCCACCTAGCCGTCTTGCAGCGTCCCGCTACGGGAAGCCGGGGCCCGAGCGTCCGCTTTAAGCGCTGCGATCAGCGTCGCCACGGAGTGGATTTTTCTTTGATGAAGCAAACATGCACAGGGCCAAGAACAGCAAGTGCCACTGTCGAAATGTAAATCAAAAAACCACCCGCGTGCACGCTCACACGCGCTGAGAAGTCTGGAGACGCAGTTGCTGCCGTCTAAAAATGCATGAGTAATTCGGCCCATGTAGATGTGCGGTTAGCTGTGGCATGTCCCCCTGGCACCGGCCGAGAGCGAGTAGCCCCTTCATCTCAGTACGGAGTCAGGGAGACAGAGCGAGTAGGCAAAACAATCAGATCCATTTCACATGAGGCAGGAATTCGACCCCTATATCAAAAAGCAAGAGGGAAAAAAGGTGGTGTGCGGGTGCATTTTTATGAGTGATTCTCAAGACATGGTCCAGGCTAAAAATACACTTCATGATGACATATCGGAGCCAATTTTGTTTTTCCTCCGTTTAAGCCCAGGTCCAGAGCACATTTCCTCTGGTATTCCAGCCATATTTCGACACTTATTCAAACCAGATAATATATATTTTTTTTTAACAGAATTATTGGGTTGAGTGTTGTATTGGCAGGGCGAGGGTGAAGTGAAACGGAGGAGGATTCAGGCCGTTTCTTTGGCTTAGTATTACGCATCCCACAAGCATAAATAAAACAAAACTGAACATGAGCTATGACATCACAGGTGCCATAAAAAGCCTAAATTGTAGTCATAATCCAACCAGTAATAAAGGTCGCCGACGTCTGAATGTTTGATTGATTAAGTACATTGAGGTTTTACAGATTATTTGACAAAGAACAATGGAATGATCCCAAACCATAATGATTGAGTGTCAGATGCTGTAATCTTCTAAAACCACAAGAGTATCTTTCATCAAACGCTACTCGATTAGACTGTAAAATGTTTTTCAGACTTTTTCCCGCAGATTATGCCTCACCGACCGCATCTTTCCCTCAAAAATAAGTTTGTTAACTCCCTGCCAAATTAAGCTGAATGAATAACATGAGAAGGTCCTCTAGGGACCTCTTTGTGAGAAATGATTCAATGACTTCCATTACAGCAAGCTGGCTCTTAAACGCTCGCTGAAAAATGTTAACTTGTCGAACGTTTGCTTGGTGATGACATCGACCAAGGTGAAATAACAATGCACATTGATCATGAGGACTTTGTGAATCAATGGAACAAGCTGCAAACATTACAGTTTCCCCACACAATCAATTCATCCATGCCTCATTCTGATGTCATAGGAGTTCCCCCAAAAGACGTGGGCCGCAGTCGAGTAGGATGCGAGGGAGTGAGAGCCCGACTGCACAGAACTCAAGTGTGTGTAAGTGTGAGAGGAAGCCCAAATACAAGAGAAAAGAGCGGAAAATGCTCACGGGAGAGCAGGTAATTGCGCTTTCCAAAAAGTCCACAGCAGTTTAGCAATGATGCAACCACCGACGTCAATATTTCTTTAAACTTGAGTACAGTCAGCCACAGCAACTAAAACAAAGCAATCTTGTGGACAACACATGTTTACAGAAACCAATAAAGCTAGTTGCTGTATAGTGTATATCAACATCCACCTATAAATTACCTGAATGAGAACTTTTATAATAATTTCTAATAATTAATCATTTATGACAGCACCACACATCCTGAGACATACAGAATATCAGCCAAGCAAGCACAGGAGGCTTCATCAAGCCACAGGAATTCAACTTATGAGTGCAAATGCCACATTTTAGAGTGACCAAACGGTGCTTAGTTTGTATATGTGTGTGGGAGTAGAACCATTACCATGGAGACCCGAAACACTATAGCAATGACTCCCTTTAGAGTCAATTACTCATTTTTTCATGAGCTGAATCAACACTTCAACGTGGGAGTTTGTCTGTGAATACTAAGTATTACCTTGTGCTAAAAAAACACAAGTACAGACAATCACAGCAATTCTTATAATGAAAAATTACCTTAATTGGACGACTTCAGAATGTTCGATTTAAAATCATTAAAAACAGTACTTCTGCTCAGATAGTAGCAATGCGAAAAATTATCTGACCATATTTATCAATTTACCACAAATCAGCAACTGACTTTTCCACGAGAGAAAAAGCCAAAGAACAAGTTAACTAGCCATGTTAGAAAGATCGGAAAGATCCCATCGGACTAGGGATGCGTTCTTAGGATGTTCATCATGTGTGAAGGCTTGACAACTCACTGGTTGCATGCCCATGACTTTTGTACAACTACTTGTACAACATGAATACTGCTGTAATGAATGCATCACCCAGGTAATTTTACCTTGATTGATAACATCTACACTACACAAGGTTTTGTTGAACTGGCAAGAGCTTTAAACTACAAAACAGTTAAATAATTAACTGAAACCATCTAGAAAGCATAAACATAAATGGGTTGAAAAAAAATGAAAACAGTATAATTTTTTACCTCATGCCGTATTCAAGGCAAATCCCATTTTGTCATATTCGGGTTCAAGCGAAAAATCTCTGACATTCAATCAACTTTTGTTATGTTCTTGTTTACAAATTGGTCAGGCTCATGACTTTTACTAGAAAGCGAATACATATGGTGCAAAAACGGCATTTGTTTAGCTATTACTTTAAATTGGAATCCTGATAAATTATTTGCTATCTGTAAAGAGAATTATATATAGAGTGCGTATGAATCCGACTACTGGCCTGCTGAAGAAGAAAATCCTTAATTGAGCCCTGAAAATTAACAGCAGCACTAAATAAATCTGTGCAAGAATAATTGGGGGAAAAGAAAAGGCATCTTCAGAAAAATCACCATTCTCAAAAATATTTAAAAAAGACTTTACCTATTAGTGTTAAATATTTTGACATTTTCTGCCATATAACATAATTTTCTGTACAATCAAAAGACTTTACCTATAGGTAGGGTTAAATATTTTGACATTTTCTGCCATATAACATAATTTTCTGTCCAATCAAGCACCAGATCAATGACTTTTTTTTAAACAGATTAAATTTTGTCTTTAAGTTACAGCCTACAGTACACAACAGACTATCACAGATGAATGCAGAATCCTATAATCAATGCTAAAAAAGAAGTCAAACGTTTAAAAAAAATTTCCTATGTGAAACAAGTAAGATATCATGTTCTCTGAAACATGTCAACAAGATCACGCAACACACAACATGCTTCCAAACGTTTCACAAAAGTCTCATTTCATTCCTTTCCAGCAATGTAAATATGATGCTCAAATAGGCACATCTAAAACATTAATGTTCCCTTCTGTCAATTGCATCTGATAGGCATTGAAATTATTCACATAATTTGGACGGGGGAGAGTAGTGGAACCAAGTCTCATAAATGCAGACACATTCGAAAAACATTTGGTTTGAATTTGTCAGGCAAACATTTTAATCAAACCCTCTGAGTCTCTTTTGTGACAAGGTATGATTACTAATATAAGTCAAATTTGTATAATCATAAGCTGGAGTACGCGGTTAACTATGTCAGCCCACACAATCCCACGCCATTGTAGCATCATCTAAACAGGGTGACCACCCTGGTCCAATAAAAGAGAGCCCCGTTTCTGAGGGACGCACAAGCATGCTCAACATTACTTACGATAAGAGTGTCACAAATCAAATATGCACATAAACACATATGCATGCATACACTGAAGAGTATAGTGAGTGTGTTCCTTCTACCAAGACAACTAGCACAAATTAAAATGCTTTTATGACAAAAACGGACGAGGTTACTGAATCGTGTTTGTTTTGCATGCAGTGATCTCACAATGCAATACCATGATGGTATAAGTTATGCACCCAAAAATATCAATTCTGTTGTCATTTACTCACCCTCATGTGTATAACATTCTTTCATCCGTCGAACACAGAAGGCAGAATGACAGTCTCAGTCACCATTCACTTTCATTGTATGAAAAAAAAAGATGTAATGACAGTGAACTGTGACTGAAACTGTAAATCCCTAACATCTCCTTTTGTGTTCCACAGAAGTAGGAAAGTTAAGTTAGGAGCAATGCGAGGATGACATAATTTTACTTTGTGGATGAACTCTCTCTTTAAATAATCTACGTAATAATAAATTAATGTAGGCCTATTTAGCGATCAATTAGGATACTTTTAATAACACAACAACAACAAAAAACGTTTGCACGTGCGAGTTTAATATCTTAAACAATCTGAAAATAATCTTTTGATAAAGTTTTTTAGGGGTCGTTCAAGACATAACCTCGGCTCTACCAACGAGGAATTGCCTCAAAATGTGTCAAAATACGGCAACAAGTCGATCTTGATAGCCTACAGTTTTGCGGTTGCATAACGCCCACATATTCATATGTAGGTATTAATATGTGTCATACGCACTCAAATAGCCTATATGACCATATATCGATGTCAGTTTGAGATGTCTCAAACTGACATAGGTAAGGTAAGGTAAGTAAGTTAAAGAAAAAACGTTTCTGAATTTCAGTGTATAGGCTATCTAGTTATGCAGCAAAATAAATGAATAGGCTACATCCAAACAAAATGTATAGTATACAGCATATAGCCTACATATTTTGAATCTATTTAAAAAATTTAAATAGCCTATGAATTTTAAAACTGTCAAAGGTTTTCAAAAACTAACATTTTAGCTCTATTATGGAGATTGACATTTGGCATAATAAGTTACAGAAGCCGCAATAAGCTACATTTATTTTGATGCTAAATATGTTATTGCTATTTGCATTCCTAATTATGCCCACCCATGGCTGTTTTGATTTTAATCCATAAACCACATTAAGATTGCATTAAAAATAGCTATAAAAGTCGATCAAATACGCTCGCAGGTACATACCGTCTCCGGGTGACATGGTGAAGCAGTGGAGTTTGGATGTGTGATGCGCGTGGAGTTTGAGATCTTCAGACCCGCAGCGCATCTGTATCGAGGCGGGATTCGATTCACTGCAGCCGTCAGAAGAGACGCGTTTCGGGCAGATATCTGTCTTACTGCTGAACATGGAGAAAGTCAGCTCGGTGAAATCTGTCTGATGACTGACCATGCCAAAGAGCGATGCAGGCTTCTGCATCTGGACCTCTGACTTCCAAGTGTGCATGTCAGTCCACGTACAATATAGTCCTTAATCGTTTATTTTACCTGTGGGATGAAGGGTAACACAATGAACTTGAACTTAAGAAACAAAATAGCCTATTAAAGCTCTCAAATGACTCTGAAGCAACATGATAAACATATAGCCAAAACAAAACTGTATAATACAATAAAACACTATCCAAAATTAAATGTTGTCGTAGATTTGAAAACATACCTATTTAATCCCTCCAAGGCAAGATAGAGAGGATATTTTGATTGAATGGTGACTCTCAACTTCTGCGTCAAACAGGCTGTTAAATGTGTTCTTACCGACCGCATCCTCTCTCTCGTTTCAGCTGCAATTTTTATGAGTTTTCTATAACATCAATTCTGAAAACCAAAACATGCGTCTATGCTCTGATTGACAGCTCGAAGTGCCAATGAACATACACTGCTGAAAGGGGAGGGACCAATCGGGAACAAACTGGATGCTTGCGATGTGAATGCTGAAATTGATCTTGACCTGGTAATAATAATAGTTTGCATTTATACAACTGAAACAGACATTTATAACTTTTAACAAGCTATGGTATTTATAAGATTCATCATCTCACAGAATCTTGTTATAGACAACAACAAGATCAAGAATAAATAAGATCAATAATAAATATTTCATAATTACCTGTAGGACGATGTGTTAGTAACGAAAAAAACATAGCTTTTATTTGTATATGGCTTTCTATTTAAAGCACAAGACAAAAAGGCGTTTTAATGGAAAAATTCTGTCATTAAACATGTCAACAGTGACATCTTATGGACATTTTTAGAAACTAAAATTGGAGCTTCTTATTTAGGCCCATATGTAAACCCAGGAATATACTTTTGTCCTTTCAGAGATGACTGACATTAGTTTAGTGATCAAATTTAGTACTCTTATTGAAATGTGATAATATTTTGTAATTATCACTTAAATCTGACCAATTTTCTAATTGTTTATCATTGGAGTTTCTAATCAAAATGTGTTTTTCTGTTACAAAACAGGGCATTCATACATGTCCACTGTAGTGGACACCAGTTTATCAGGCATTTGGGGAGACACAACGAGTGAATAGGGAAATAATCAGTACATTATTCCTATGAATAATAAATATTATCTGGAAAATGTTGTCAATTATTGCTCCCATTATTACTCGTTTTTTCATTACATTTTGCCAGAACACACTAATATGCAAATTGGATAAATGTATAAACAGAATTTATATAATTTATGGCCATTTTACCCACAAATTGTATAAAGTGTAATGGTTTATCAATTAATTTCGTTATATATTTCATAACATAATACAAAGTTTGGTTGAAAAAATACTCAAACCTAAAAACTGATAGGTGATTGACAAACAGTCCTGGTGTCCACAGAGGACGTCATATGAATAAAATATATATATATATATTTTTCTTTTAAACAATTATATAAACTATGATACGAAAACAATATACGGTTTACGTTTACATGCGCATAGCAACAAAGTGAAGTTTAGAATTAGTATGTCTTCTACTGATACGATACTGATGCCTGCAGTCGCTGCAGTCCGGCGTTTTTCCTCTTTGTCGCCATCTCTGTTCGAAATCTGAAATTGCAGACAATTAAGCTCGAAAATCCACCAGTACCACTGGAATTAAAAACATTATAAGCTTACCGTTTTGAATTGAGCAAAGGCAAGCAGATAGTTTTGAAAACTGGTTGGTTATGTATTTCTCAAAATATTATTTTGGATAATTTTTAAGCCAAAAAAGTTACAGAAGGAGCTTTAATTTCCTTTCTCACACAAATAGTGATATGAAATAATCAAAATGATACATAAATAATTTAGCCTAATTCATAGTTATTCTCTACCTACCCGAGGACCTGATCCTCCTGCTGTGGATAATCAACCAATAATTTTTTTTTCTTTTTTATGTTTTGGGGTCGTTCGTGCGTTCGCCTAAAGACCTTGATTTACCAAAAACAATAAGTTCATGCACATTGCGAGTTACAGACTTCTGTGCATTATAGTGAAGGCTTTGTGAAACTGAACAGCTTTTTTTTTCTACACCAACAACGATTGAGCCAATCAGAGTCGAGTATGGGGCGGGTTGACAAGTGCAGCCCCGCCCCGATCTGCAGGCTGCAGGTCCCTCTCCTATGTTTTGGAGGGAGGTGCGCCTCAACAAGCAAAGCAAAAGTTTTATACTTCTGCTTTATACTTTTCGTTCATGTTGACTCCACGACGCGTGGACCGTTAAATCGTTCTCACGATGGAGACCACAGTGGGATACGCGCTAAGAAAAGTTTATGTTTATGTTTCAGCTGTGGCTATGATATTGTTTGCGATCGTGCAACTATCCGCGTTGAAACTCCTGTCAATCATTTCCCCGGGACTGATGAAGAAAATCCATCTAAAAATGGGAGAGAAGTTTACGATGACTCAAAATCCCAAATTCAAATACGAAGACTGGGGTCCGTCTTTCTTTTCTCTGGAGTTCATTAAAACCGTGCTCTCGGTGAACTGGTGCTCGCTGGGCCTGGAGGCGTTTGAGGGGTTCTCTGCTCCAGACACAGCTGTATTTACTCTGGACGGACAGAAAACGAGCATTCGTCGTTTTCTTAAAGGTACAGTCAATAGATTCTATAAATGATTATTATTGGAATAATTAAACTGACTGCACCAGTCTTTATGTTCTATTAAAAATATATTCATTTATAACTGTTTAATCATTATTTATAACTAATAATAGTTATTATTATTATTATTTTCAGAAAAAAATATGACTGTTCCAACCATTAATTTATGTGTTTATTTAATGGAACAATTAAACTGACTAAACTAAGGTTCTGTTCCAATATATAAAAATAAAAAAACTTATTATTATCACTATTATTGGAATAGAGCCTTAGTACTGAATGATGCAGTCAATTCATGTGGCTTCTTCACAGGTAACCGTCCACTGGTTCTGAGTTTTGGAAGTTGCACATGACCCCCGTTTCTCTTCAAACTTGATGAGTTTAAACAGCTTGTCAAGGACTTCAGTGATGTGGCAGATTTCCTCATTGTTTACCTTGCTGAGGCACATGCAACTGGTAAGGACGATAATATTGAAATAAATTTGCCGTACTCTTGATATAACACTAACAAATTGGGTTGATGTAACCTTTGCCCGGATTCACTGCAGAGTCATTCACACGTAGAGAATCGAGAGATAAATGTTATGCAATAAGCAAAATGCTTCTGTTTTTTTCATAGATGGTTGGGCCTTTGTAAACAACGTCGATATCAGCGTTCACAAAAACCTGGAAGAGAGACTGGCTGCGGCCCAGATCCTGGTCAAAGAAGACCCTCTCTGCCCTGTGGTAGTGGACGAGATGACCAACATCACTGCCAGCAAATATGGAGCCCTTCCTGAGAGGCTCTATGTCATTCAGAGTGGGAAAATTATCTTTCAGGTGAGCGTTTTGCAATGCAGAGAAACTTCAAACTGCACACAGTACAGGAAATACCTCCAAAGCTTCATAACAGCTCTCGTGAGAGCAGTTGTGAGTGAAACCTTTAGAACATTTTAACCTTGGCCAGAGGCTTTACACACACACACACACACACACTCTTCCTCTTGCAGTAAGAGATTTCACAAGTTCATAGAGGTGACAGGTTTGGAATGAGTTGAACAGCATGGGGTAAAGGGTTTATAGTCGCTTTGGTCTGTTCTTTTGCTTTTGTTGCCTTTTTGTTTGGCAGTGTCTAAATATATTCATCAGGAAGTCCACAGTATGGAAGGATTTTCACATGCATTTTCTTTCTTCCTAACAGGGTGGCATCGGACCTTGGGGGTACAACCCTGAAGAGGTTCGAAAAGTTCTGGAAAAAATTGAATAAAGGGGAAAAAAGAGTTTTATCCATGACTGCATTTGTATATATTTGCACTGAAATTCTAGTGCCTGAACTCATTTTTTGAGTCCCTGTGTTTGCTTGTGACAGATACAGATCAAACCAGCTGGTCTCTGTGTCTTGATGTTTCAAACAGGGGGATGTCAATTGTAAGTGACGGCAAAATATTTTTAATGGAATATACAACCAGTTTTTTTTGAACATTTGATTATAATACCAGCATTGTATTCAAAGACTATGTGAACCCAACTATCAGCAGAGGTTTTGAAGGGCATTTGTGCATTTCTGATTTCTTTTTGTCTGAACTTGTGACTGTAAATGATGCTTACAGGGTAAATCTGTGAACTGTAAACTGATAATCCAGTTATTTGTTCTAAAAAGGATTAAGGAGCACAGTGTTTTTAACAACTATTTAAATTAAAAGTCACATTTTTATTACATATATCATATAAGAGTCAGTGTATATCCTTAAATAAATAATGACTACTTAATTTCATATTATTGTGTGCTTGTCCTTCAGTGAAAAGAAACTTGAACTGTTTTTTTTTTAACCATGCTTGACCTGAAATATTTCAAATAATCTCTTTAAAGTTGCTCAGGAAAGGCAGGTATGAACATGTTCCACACTGCAGTCACTAAACCTATTAAAGACAGAACAGGTTCTCAAAGAATGTAGTTGAGGTATACAATTATTAGCTTCACTAACTTTTCAATACAGTAGATCTTATCAAAATGAATCTATTATTGGCCAGCTATTCAAATGCTAGTAACAATAATCCTAGTCTACATTTGGACACTGCTAATGTACAGTACATGTATAGAATCTGATGCCATCTACTACTGATAATGCTTGCATAATACAGCACAAATGCATGTTTTTGCATAACCCTTGTCCAACCGACATTGTGGTTTATTGCTCTTTTCACTTCTTCAGTCCTCATCATGTCTCCTGCTGCAGGACTATGGCATTTTCACGCAGGAGATCGGAGTCCGTAAAAAGGTCTCTTTAATGTCCTAAGGACTTTTCCATGTGTCATAGGGTTCATTTGGGTTCATTTAGGGTTCATTGAACAAGCATGAAAAACATGTTTAAACCTTTTCCAATAAAGATTTGTAAAGTTTATTTGTATTTTATAAAATTATCTTCAAAATACAGTATCCTGAAGAAGGGATGTTTTCCTTTTTTCTTTTGCTGAGTTTATATAGTAAGTACATACATACACGTCAGATATATATGGCATATAAACAAACTTTGTTGTAATTAATCGATTTGACAGCACTATAACTATCGGTACTGTTCTTTAGCCCCAATCTCACCTTAACTTTATGACTGCATTTGAACTTTGGGCTCATGTCACATGCTGCATTTGGCAGTCAGGAGGATCCTGTTGTGGTTCCTCACTGACTTTCCAGACGGATCGGCTTTCATTTGTCTAAAAAGGCTGATATACCACAATGCAGCCAAAAGAGGTCATCGTCTATGAAAAAGATTAGACCACAACAAAATATAACAGTTAGAACTGCTTTGTCTCATTTAAATCAACATATATTCACAAGATATTAATCAGGAATTTTATCAGTTGGTCCAAACCTACCAAGTGTCCAGGAATCAATTCTAAGAGTAAATAAAGTATTACAAGAGTCCATTCACCCAGAGCACATTTTTGGAATTTAAAACCACAAGATATGGGTATTTATAAAGAATCTACATAGTTCGGAATATGCCAAGCACTTAAAAGTTATCAGGTAGATATTGAGTGTAAAACATTTTTAAATGCCACGTATGACTAAAAATGTTGTGATAATAACTGGTTTAAAAAAAGGGGGAATGTATAAAAAACATTCAGCTCCTAAAACTTAATTTAACATTCCAGGTTTCTTTAAATTAAAAATAGTTTTGAAAATAAAACTTATTAAAACAGCAGATGTACCCAAGGAAACCTATTAGCCTACCGGGTGGGGGCTTCAAATAATGTTAGGGGAACAAATAGATTGAGAACTACTGATCTAGAGTAGTTTTACATTGAAAACAATGGAAAAGCAGCACAGAAACATGTTCTGTGGAAACGGTTGCGAATACCATTTGAGAGTTGCTGAGAAAGAAAAACTGAAGACTCTTAAGGATGATCAGTGGTTTGCTGAGTCTGTTCTTTTACACAAACGTCACTCTCACACCCATCTCCAGGTGCCAGCTGGTTGGCCAAAACCTCTTATGCGCTCTTATGAAGCACTTCGGCCTGTCAGCCTGTTTGAGCATTGTCCACTATGTTCCTGCTTGACAGTTTGCAGAAGAGGCAATCAAACAGCTTCATAAATGAGTTCTCATGCCATGCCCTGCCTGTGAAAAACATTCCACAGACTTTACAATGAGTGAAAACAGACAGAGACTTAAGACAATTTGGGAACAACTTTATCTTACATTGAAACTGGTTCACTGATTCAAAGAGAATGATTTACATGGAAATCAAATGGCTGGATCTTGGCCCTCTGAAGAGATGCTACCCTAAAGAAGTAGTCGGGGAGCATCAACAGCTTTACATCATTTTCCAAAGTTAAAATCAATTCACATTGAGCTTTCCCTTTTCTCTTAAAAAGCGATTAGCTGGAAACTGAAAATAGGGGAGAAACGCTGCTTTCCGTCTTGCATTAATATGAATGACTGAAAAACATAAGACAAAAATCCCCAGAAAGGAGCCAAATAATTTAGTAGTCAATATACAAACAAGCCTATTCAGCCCACAGTTAAAAGTATGATGCACAAGCTAACAAAAGCCGTGCAATACAACTACTAAAATGTAAAACAATGACCAAATGCCTGTATAAATAGAATAAGTTACCATTCTAAGTGTATTATGACTGTCTGATGTCGCTCAAATGAAAACCTAATACAAAACAAATCCAAACACACTAGAGTCTGGCTCACAAAAGCCACATCCTTTCGGGCTGAAACCATTTCAGAGCTAAAACAAGAGGCACATGGCAGGGAATTACATATATATATTAAAAATAAAATAAAAAGGACAAACATGATATGGGTCTCTTTAACCATCACAAATTCATGACAATCGAGCACAACAGCGGCTTAACAGTTTTGCAGGGAGACGCATCCAGACGCAAATTCCAGTCACCCAGCCTGAGAAGCTCTGAGAAGGTCTCATAGGTAGTATGTTTGTCAGGGTCAGCATCTGAGAGGATCATCTTGTCATTCAGTTTTTTTTTACCAAAGATAGAGACAGCAGTTAAATTTCAGGAAAAAATAAGAGAACATGAAATCAGTGCAGAAAACATAACAAATATCTTCAGGACTGGCACCCATCAATGCAGTTATTCCTTAAAAGCAGCTGCTTATAATGCTTCAAGACAAAAATGACAGTGTACGAGTAAAATACAACTCCGAGTCTTTCCTCGTTCAGAAAAGACAGATTTTTCTCACCACTTGATGCGTTTCACTGGAGAAAAATAAAAAAAAACAGGTCATCGAAAGGCAATAAAATATTCACAGAATTCAAGGCCACGTATGAGAGTTCAGTGTCAAAAAAGTCAGAGGAAGTTTCGTACGTGTAAACCATGCTGAAGTTGGACGTGGATGTCGGATTTCGAGAGACTGAACTGAGATTATTCCTCTTCGGCACAAAACGTATACACATCCAGCGATTATGTCAGCAGTAAACCATACTTTGCTTCTTAATGAGAGATGGCCTCAAAGGGAAACGAGAAAAAAAAAAAATCCAGGAGCATTGAGTCACATTTAGATGGTCTGATCTTAGAGAGGAGAAAAGATTTGCTAGCCATTAAAAAAAAAAAATAACAACAAAATTCATTTTGATATTGCATGAGACCACTTGTGAGGATGCAGGGCAGTCCCACCCAATTCCATTTCCTGTACATGTACTCTGTCTATGTCATCGATGGCCAACTGTGAGTTTCCAGAACGGAGCAAACAGACTGGCATCAGACGCTCATGGTCATGGAAGGAGAGTACTGCTGTAAATACAAAAAAAAGGGTCAAAAACTGAAGCAAAACATTACAGAAAAACAACCAGTCTATCTATTCACTTAACACTCGCGCACTGTGCCCTAACTAATTGCAAAACGATTAAGAGAATTTTTGTGCAACAGTTTATCCTTTGTGCCGTACTGGCTAGCCCCGCCCAGTGATCTCATTGGTGTAAAATCCAGCTAGCATAACTTGTTTTCTGATTTAGAGGTTGTATTGCATTGTCCTTTTACTTTAGGAGATAAAAAGAGGAAAAGTATTGCTAGTACTTTCAAAACCATAATATAGTATATAAACGTCAAGGTATCTTACATTATCATTTTGGAAGGAGTGAAGGTAGCTGCCTCCTACGTCTTCATCTCTTGGGGTCCCGGGTGGATTGCTCATGCCACTCATATTGTTAGGAGAATTCTGATGATGAGATGTATAGTAATTGGCAAGTTAAATAGACAGTGAATACAGTGCTGCAGGGATGACATTATTGTCAGCATATCTGAACACCACCCTGGTTCCCTCGACAAAAAGCCAGTAAGATTTTCCATTGGCTTTTAGTTCTTGTAAAAAATAAGCTCTATGACCAAGCAAACTTTAAGGTTCTTACATGTTTCGTTCAAGATAAATCTGCACAAACCTGAAGTTAGGCTACAAACGAACTACACCACAGCAGCAAAGTTCAATGGCACCACCACTAGGCCTCGTAAAAAACTCGTAATATTTTAGTTTCAGATAGAATAGTTTGCAAGAGCATGAGTATAACAACAATGAGCTGTAAAATCGGTGTAAATCATTCCACACAACCTATGTAATCCCATTTAGCTTAAAAATAAAATAAAATCACTAGCGGGGTATTACTGCTTAATTTTATCCTTTAAAATAAAACGTGAAGATATCTTAAGCTTGTGTTAACTAAATCAAAAAATCAAAAATGCATTCTTTAGGGTGATGGAACTGGAAGTGCAAAAATGTTTCCAAGTTTTAGGACCGATTCCTGCAGCACTATGAAATACTCTTTTACAGAAAGATTTTTATTGTGACCCAAATATAAGAAGAAAAAAAAAAACGTTAGAAAGATTATAATCACCTTTGGAAGTCCATCGAGGTCTCCTGAACCTAAAAAGACAAACAAACATGAATATGTTTCCAAATGGATATAACATTTCAAATATAACCATGTGTATTTACCTCCATTCATATGCATTGGGTCCATTCCTGCCATGGCCCCTAGAGGTCCCTCAGAGCCTGGGCCTATGGGAAACTGGACAAATACAGTGGGAGTTAACAATAAAAAATAAAAAAAAACGACATCAGACAGTAATGATGAAAAGGGTAACATGAGGGTAACAGCCAAAGGCACTTCTGCTGCATTAATGTACTATACCAAGCAATTACTGAACAGTGTGCCTCTGAGAAATGAGTCAGCAGGTCTGTCTCTTACACTGTTGCGCCCTCCACCTCCTGAGTTTATCATGGTGTACAGGTTTTCACTGGAGTTGTTGGAG